CGTATCTATATTAGTAGTGGGATCTGAGGGAAAATGCTGAAATCAAAGACAAGATGACAGTCCTTAGCGTGAAAGGCGGTGTACGAAGGTTCAAGTTATTGTTCTGCTACAATCTTATTATTTATATGATGAAGAACAACATATGGTCCTTTATTTAAATTCGGCTACAGATAAAAAGATTGTAGAGTGTAACTGTAGAATATTGAAAGATCCGTTCAGAACATCAACAGTTCAAGAGCGGCCAGTAGAAAGATGCAAGATTCAGAACCAGAAAATAGGTTTAATATGGGACTGTTGCCGGAAGTTTTTTGAAACTAAAATTCATAGGTTTCTATGTATCCTAGGTTAGATAAGTCGACCAGTTAAGTAGAGTAACTGTTGAGGCTAGACTTTACTGTTTGTACTATTATATGCATAACAGCTACTTAAATCATATCCAAGTTCAAGAATAAATGAATATGAACATACGATTCCAATTTTCAAAGATAGACACACAAGTCCAATTTTAATTATATCGTATATCACTCGTGAACTAACATTGCTTCTTTAAATATTTTCCTCGTAGTCAGGGCGTTGGAAAGCACAAATTTACAGAAAATTGATGGTTGGTAATTGTTTGCTTTTAACACAGATTTTTGCTCTACAGCTGAGGAACATTAAATACAGTGCACATGACATAATGATATACATAAAAAGGAAGAATAAGTAATATATACATCTTCCTTTTCAGAAGTCATTCAAAGCTAAGCTCATACCTTTAAATAATTTTACCTAATATTGTATTTCTCCTTACACATCTGCAAGGGAATCGTACGGTGATGATACCGTAGGTTGCACCTAACTTAAACGAGACGATAAAATATGCACATGTAAAATATGTCCTGATGTGTATTTACAATCTCAAACGATACAATAACGATGCTTATATGTTCAAAAGTTTATTAGAGGTTATGTTGCTGTTATATGCTCTTTACAAATGGTATGACGTCCAAAATCATTAATAAGCGCCAAACATAGCGGACAGCGTTTTCGTCTGTTGAAGAAAAATATGTTTTTCAACTAAAGTTTTACAATCTTTAATGCCTGAAAAATATAGTATCAATTTTTTTGATCAATAGAACAAATATCAACTATTAAAAGAAGTACCAACTTGCGTATAGATTGATCTTATGGTGTAGATTTTATACGCTCGCCAATAAAAATGAAAGAAAAATTTTAATGATTCTAAAGCACGGCGGGTTTTCTGCTACTGAATAAGTTTGATAAAGCAGTCAGCTGATCGCCTAAGATCAACCACAGCTGTCATAAAACGTGGCCACAACATCAAATATCTCGTCATAAGCAGGAGCGACGTCACTGACGCTCTTATATTTCGTTTTGACTATCTATATAAAACAAACACATTGCTGTGACTCCTTTATAGTTTTTAATCATGTCTATTTACATGTTCTCCATTACTTATATTTTTGGAGAGCGTGCGCAGATGTGTAGTAGGTAACAAAAGCCTGAGGTCACCAAAAGTAATGAGATGCATTATAATGAGGAGAGAAAATCAAGGTCTATATTATTTGATATAAATCTCATAAATGTTCTACTTATTTAGCATAAACTTTTCCACTTTCTGATGTAAGATTTCTCACCTGCATTTATATTATTGATGTTATTATAGTTATTCAACTCTGAGGGCTACGAGAAGCCTCCATAAATAATGTTTTATTCACGTTTACGTTTGTCGTATATCCTGGATTTCAAAATCACGTGTAATACTTTTAAATTTGTATTAATTAAATAAATTAAAGGTTAAAATTGATTGGCAATATGAACAGGCAGATTCAATCATCATAATTTATAATTTTTAGTATATATGGCAAGTGATACTGTAACTATATAATTAATTTTAATGTAAATTAGTCTGCTTTTGGTTTACTTAACCCACATAAGGAATTCTAATTTCGTAGCCTAAAAACGTAGGTCGACAATTATTTCACATCTGAGCGATAACAATAAATGATACGTATTTGTTGGTAGATACCAACATTGAACGGAATATCAAAAGTATTGTGTCTGCTTTCATTTTAGTTCTCCTGCTATTGACGGGGAAGATTTGTAGTCGCGAAAATTTAAAAAAATATGATTACGCTTTATGGATTATATATGACGTCATTCGAAAACTATATCACTCTTTGCCGTCAGTCTGTACGTGTGTTTGTCTGTCCCTTGATCCGCCATGCCAAAGACGAACAAATTTTGGTTTTTGGAATGGCGGTGGAGCTAGGGACAAAAAACGAAAACTTAAAAATTGCTAAAACTTCGTTTTTACGCTGTAGATGTTCCTGATCATCTTCAGACCATATTTGTAGTGGGATTTATAATGGTGGGGTGAGGGTATATCTAAATTTTTTTCACGTTAGCATGTCTATACGCTTCCCACACATCATAGTTTTCCTCTTGCGTTTGCCTTTAAAATGCCTAAAGTCATAGAGAAATATGTGGATATACTATAGATGTTTCGCGATCCGACAGATAGGTCTCTGTTGCGCACTCGGTAGTGGCTGCCGTACAGCTGTGGATGACAAGCGGCAAGTTTAGTCATAGCAACGTTCAGGAGGCACATGCAGGAACTTTCCTTGGCGAAGCAGCGATCACCGGCAGAGATAACAGTTTGTGATAGCTTTTTGAAGAGCGCGGGTTACCAATTTTTCTCAGTGTGGGTCAAACCCTAAAAAGTTGTATACAAATGATCCTAAATATACACATTTTAAGCTCCGCTGGATTCTCAGGGGAAGGCACGGTGCTCCTGGCGACCTCCACAGACTTCCATAGTTACATTTCGGGAGTAATTTTTGAATCGCCACGTTCTCAAGACGGTAGGGACTACGGACTAATAGTACGAGGCAGTTGGACTGACCTGGAATATTTAATTTTTGGTTTTGCGTGTTCATAACTAACCTTTCATGTCAGAAGGGCTAACTTGTGTCCTACAGCGTGGGAAATGCAGACTCGTCCTACTTGACGCCGTTTTTACACATAATATTGAGTGTCTTTGATCGACGTGCGTATTCCTCAATGTATCGCTTCCATAGAAAAAGTGGAGAATGCTGCCTTCTTCAGCGAACTATCTTAGAGCCTTCTGATTCTTCGCAGTATGTTTTTATGAGGTCAGAACTGCTTTGTGAATGGCTATTAATAGAATCAGACCGATTCTAGAAATACTTTCCTGTAGAACACGAACAATGCTCGAATTTCATATTCACGTTGAGAGTCAGGAAACTTGTAAGTGGTAGAAGCTCGACTAAGAAAAAACATATTTGTAAAACTTCAGTTGAGAATATGTATTTTGCTTTATTAAATAAGAGTCAAGGATAGCGTTACTTCCTTAATATATGGTTATCCATAAAAAAGCATTTAATTTTATTGCCACTAACAAAAAATCAACTTTTTGATTTAAGTAATCTAGTCACTCAACATTGGAGAATCATCTCATTAACCTTTCGTCAAAGCGTTACTAAAGTTTTGGTATGGTCCAGCGATTTTGTAATTATCATTTTTACACCGATATATTTCTAGTTTAATTAGTTGCAAATACTTTTATGGGGACATTTTTTAACGATGATGTAACTTACGATCGAATGGTTTCTTATTTTTACATTTTGTGCTTTTATATAGTGTAGCAATATGTTTAAAGGGTTACACAAAGGTAGGAAATTTTCAAAACCGAACAATCCAAAACGAGTAATCAAAGACAGCTTTTCTTTTTGTCATCAATCAAGGGAAAATAAATACGGCTAGAAAGCTTTGCCAATGGAGAACTTAAGTTAGATACCGTGCTACAGTAGAAGGACAGCAGCGGTGGCCGCAGTAGTAGACTCTTCGGTCTCCTGATCAGTCGCAGTGCGCTGTGCGGGTTCGAGTCCCGTCCTAGGAGAAATTGGTAGACGGTCTCTGACTGTCGAACGCGGAGGTACCACCCGGCGGTTCTCGTAGGCGGAGCTAGAATGTGTGCATGTTGCATGCACACGTGTTCCCTCGCCAGAGTCCGAGTGGCGTTCCCCCTTTCCCATGTATCCCCATATAGCCCCACGGTACCCAATGGATGCTTAGGCCTTAGGCCTTCGTGGTAGTTGGAGTATAAAAAAAATAAAATAAAAAGAATGCTCAATACTACTACAGTGTAAGATAGTACATCGTTGTTGCCCATCTTGGGCCCGTATCGTCAGTGGTTCCTACACTTCTGTATGGCCTTCTTGATTTTCATAGTCTCCTCAGAAAGGCTGGGGTATTTCTAGATTTCTGCTGTTCCATGTCAGCGCTCTCCTATTGTCAGGCTATGTTTTCTTCTTGAATTGTAGGAAATCTCAAGCTATATAATAGATGATGCAAATCACAAGCATGAACAATTTGATGCAAATAGATATTTGTGACATAACCTCAAAATAGAGCGCCGACACGGAAAAGTAGAAAACTATCAAAATCAAGGAAGCCAAAAAGGCGTCCTACAATAATTGTAGTAATTTGAGTAAAATTTTTTAGCTCGACGCTTATGAACCATTAATTCGGCAGCAGCAACTCTCTTAGCGTTGTCGTTTAAACTTGAATCCTTAAGTTTGTTGTTAATTCCTCGCATTGTCCACATACATCTACTTGAGGCCTCCCGAATTTTAATGCAAAATTCTCTTTAAAGAATTTTAAGTAAAATTCATATTTAACTATCTTTGTTAATTCCGGGTGTAATTTTATAAAGAGATTATACATAGTCTTAACGTTAAGATTTGAATCAAGATAGTGAATTTCCTTAGAGCTGTCGTGAGAAGTCCTTCGTGGAAACGATTCAATGTGATGATGGATTTTGGAAGTAACCTGAGGTTGTAATGTATGAGGTCGATTATTATGCGTACCACGTAAATCTCTAGGTGAACTCTGAGACACGAACAATCTATTTAGTCGTTGTAGTCTAGAGTTCGAGATTGAATGTAGATTAAGAAAGGCTGTTTTGCAAACACGTTGTTTCTCTAAAGGTTTTCGTATGTAATAAGAAAAATTCGCTGTCCTGAGTTTTTCTCTGGCCTCTTTATTTGGTCGCTTCCTAACGACTGGTTTACATTCCATTAACCCATGTAAATAGACATCTTGTTCGTTTTTAGAACCTTTCTCGTATAATGCCCTCAAAACAGCTTCTTTTTCTTCCATCGTAAATTTAGTCATGCATTTGTTTTTACATCTAAAAAAACAATATAATATTGTTACAAACGATTGTGTTATTTTATAGTAATAAAGCTTACGTGCAATCTGCTTTAACCTCCCTTTTGTTGACTATTTTCCCAGTTTTAGTTGTGTATTGGCTTCCAAGAAGACGAGCTTTCTTCCTTTCATTTCTCTTCCATGTTTCAGGACATCCTTTTTTTCTTTTACGATCGATCATTTCCGTATCCGAACTTTCACTGCTAGACATTTTAATCACGTAAAATATAAGAGGAAACGCGAAACTTTTAACATAAGGGTACGATCGAGCTGAATGCTTACTGACAAACCGTCCAAAATCAGCTGACTGCGCGACATGCGCCATGCGCATGGTTGAGTGGAAAATCAGTATAAAAGCGGGAGTTATATCGTTATTCCACTCAATGCCAAATCTGACCGCTTCGTGGAAGCGTGCACGTAGTGAATATTGTACGCTTTTTCCTCTCAGTAGAAGGATCCTGTGTTGAAGAACATTTTGGCTATCTTGGTTAAAATGCCTTTTTTGGGAGTTATATCGTTTTTCCACATAGAAGCTGTCATCGCAAAAACCAGAGCAGCCATGGCTCAACTCTATCCATTACTGGGTAGACACAGCCAGATGCCGCTAGCGACCAAGCTACGGCTGATCAAGGCCATCGCCAGACCTCAGCTCGCTTACGCCTCCGCGGTCTGGGGGTACGCTGCCCCCAGCTACCGCAAGCGACTTGCTGCTCTAGAGATGAAGCTACTCCGGATCGCCACCAATGCACCTTCCTACGTAAGGAACTCAACCTTGCGTAGAGACCTGCATTGGGATACCATCCACGAGTACATGAGGAAAAAAGCGGAGAAGACCTTCGAGAAAGCTCAGGACCACCCGAACGAGCAGCTACGATTCCTCATGGACTACGATCCGGACGAGAGGCCTCGCAACCGCAGAACCAGGTACCCCAGACCAAGGTCCCAGTTGGCACCCGCTAACTGGAACCTTGACTAGGAGACCAGGAGAACTTGCGGCTGCTCCCCCCCCCCCCCCCACGGCGTGGATGCAGAGGACCAGGAACCACCGGGACCAGGACCCACCGGGGCCAGGACCAACCAGGACCAGGACCCGCCACGACCAGGACCCACCAGGACCAGGACCCTTCAGGACCAGGACCAGGAACAACATATTGGTAAGAGGACTTGAAACTCTTGATTTTTCGAAAACAAGAGTTTCAAGAGAAACTAGCAGACCCTCTATCGATGATCGCTTAGCGACATCGATAGAATGTGCGAGGTAAAGGGAACCAACCCGGCGTTCCCAGAGACTGAAACACATGAGGAGACGTTGTAGCAGACCGCAGGTCACGCACAACACATGGCCTACCGAGACGCTGATGAGTCGGGCCACGCGGAGGTTTAGGGTTTAGTGGGTATTAGGTGATCTCTTCAAGACCCTGGAGCCCCACACACGTCGTAGCTCGTGCTATGGTATGGTGCGTAAATGCATTCCCCCCTCGTTAAAAAAAAAAAAAAAATATTCCACTCAATGCCAAATCTGACCGCTTCGTGGAAGCGTGCACGTAGTGAATATTGTACGCTTTTTCCTCTCAGTAGAAGGATCCTGTGTTGAAGAACATTTTGGCTATCTTGGTTTAAAATGCCTTTTTTGGGAGTTATATCGTTTTTTCCACTCACCGTTTCAATTGTAGGAACGATAGACGATACGGCCCTTATCCAGGCAAGAATGTCCAGTTTTTAAGTTTCATAACCTTCATATTGCGGAACGCAATAATCGTGCACTTTAAAAGTTTACCTGAGATACAGGTCATAAAAACGACAGATTTATCTTTTGGATAAGTATTTGTCAGCTCTAATTTGACATTTATATACCATATATGCTCGTATATACATCGAAGATGAGTGGCAGATGTTTCTGCTCTGCTAGATTATATTCTTCATCTCGGCACTTATATGTGCTGAAGTACCAAATCATTCTTCTGTCTATTTTCCTAATCTATCAGTATTTCATGTGTGGCTTTGAAAGTTTGTTTCAGATAAAAACTTATTTTACGCAATTCTACAACTTTAAGAACATGCGAAAGCTTTTAAACCTTTCTAAACATACCTGTTACAGTTAGAGCTTGCCAAAGTTTTTCCGATATACCATTAATCACCCAGAAAGAACTCGAAAAAATAATGTATATGCCTAACTAGAGGAGAAAGAAGTTTGCTACGTTGTACGTTTCCCACTGAGTACTAGTGTGTACAGGGTGTCGCAGAAGTCGACGTCAAGCCGGAAACGGGTGATGCGCCAAGTCATAATAGTTATCAGAAAAATATAAATACATCTATGTTTGTACTTTTCAAATCATCAGGTTAAAAAAATCGGAAAAATATTTAGTACCCATTACTAAAAATTTCAATTTTGTATTAAACGGAGTGACGGACGGTGTCATTCTACGTAGTGGCAGCAAGACAGACAGTAACGCCACTTTTATTAATTCGTGTGAATATATTTATTAAATTACGATAAATGTTCAAACTGCCTTCCTTCAACCGCAATGCAAGATTGACATCTTCTCAACAATGATCGGGTTATCAGCCGGGTGATAACAAATTCAGCTACTTCCGTTATTCTGTCCTATAGCTCAGCTAAAGTTTCGATTGGCTTTGAGTAAAGTTTTTCTTCCACCGGTCACCGGTAAAAAAATCGAGCGGATTTAAGTCGGGTGAACGGGCTGGTCACGAAATTGTATCAGTTACCGCCCTATCCATCTGCTCGGGTACTCCGCATCAAGATACTCTCTAACTGAACGTGCATCGTGCGCCGCGCAGCAGTCTTATTGATACCATACCTGTATGTCCCAGTAAATGCCTAGTGGCACGTCTTCCAATAAATTTGGTAAATGATTTTGTTAATAGTCTAAATAAATTTCACCCTTCAAGAACTCTGACTCATGGGGTAAATTATATTGTCATTTAGAATCTCTGTCCACATGTTTACTTTAAAACGATAGTTTGATCTTTTTGTCTCATCCAATGCCACTCGTCTAAGTTGTGTAACCATCTTTTTCAAATGTCGACTCGTCAGACCATAAAATTTACACAGACATGGTGGCACTACACAATTTTGAATTAATAAAAGAGACGTTACTATCTTGCTGACACTACGTAGAATGACTCTATCCGACACTCGTCTAAGAAAAAAATTGAGTGTTATAGTGATGGGAACTAAAAGACAATCACAGGGTGTAGATTTTTCCAATGTTTAAGCCTTTAATTTGAAAACGATTTTTTTGTCATTTTTGTGATAACTATTACGAATTGGCTTATGCCCCGTTTCCAGCTTCAAGTCGACACCCTGTATGTGTAAAGACGCATTTGGAAGATACCATGGAAAATGCAAATTTGATGATTGAAATGCTTGCAGAGCTAAAAAACGCAACTTTTCCAAGATGTCGTATTGGGAGAACATTCAGTAGCGACCTACAGAATACAGAGCTGTCGATTCAAATAGCGTTTTAGATGTCGCCAGACTCAAATTGAGTCTCATATATACAGTAATGGGCAAAATTATATAGACAAATCAATATTGCTCTGTATTTGTTTTTTAACTTGTTTTATTAATACACCAACCTGTATACATAATACTCACTTATACATAAATAAATTCATTAGACTCCCTTCAATAAAAGATTAATTGAAAAAACTGGAACTATGGAAGACAAAAATATATAGACAAAGCAAAACAATTATAGAAAAAAGAAGCAAAGTTCATTGAATTATAGAAAACCAACCATGTTTGTGTTAATATTTTGTAGCAGAACCATTATCAATCACCGTCTGGCATCGTCTCGGCATAGATTGTAGAAGCTTCTTGATATAAGATTCATCAATCTGTCTCTACTTTTGCTCTAAAGCGGCATCTTTGACCATCTTTGAATAACTCAATGATCTTAGTTTTCACATCGAAAGAAATTTCTGGACCACGCGGCATGGTCTTAAAATCACTCAACTTACTCCACAATGCTTGATGAACACAAACTAATTCTCTTCTGACACGAAACTATACTAAACTAATGTTGAAAATAATTTATCTACAAATTTTTGACCCTCATAAAAAAGTGCTTATACTCAGACTTGTATTGTGTTCATTGCAGATAATGTAAAAACAAGGAATTTAGTTTTTCTCCTAATAACTCATTTGTTTATGGAGCAATGAGTATGAATTCGTTTTATAAAGGTATCATATTTGTCTATAATATACTTTTGTCCATTACTGTATTTACGTTTCTGGATTCAAATTAAGATGTCCTTCCTATTGCACTTCTAACTTATGCAATGGTTTTTACTGGAGTTCAAAGACAGTAGCAATGCTTAGATTTAGAAAGAATAAACCGGCTAGTGAGGCACTATTTCATACACTATTTGTTGACATTTTTGAACCTCCAAATTCCAGAAGCACAATAGATATATGTACTTTGGAATAACATAAACGTTTAAGCGTAATTATCAATTTATCTAGATATGCAAACCTCATTATACGAGCTATAGATTTTGCATCCGGCGAATTAAATGAGCTGCACACAATCATGCAATGTGCAATATCGGAGAGACTGTTTCGCTTATTCATATTTGAATTATGCTAGCTGCATACTGCTGTGTAATAATAGCAAACGACAACGAAGGATATAATTACTATCCATCAAATATCAGTAGATATGATAGACTAGATAAGAAAGAGAAAGTCCAGCGGTCACAGGTCCTCAAAAGAAAAGATGGTAGTACCGCCGAGAAGAATGGCAACGTTGTCGTCAATCCACCTTCGAAATCCCTGGTTGGTTTTTTAATCAAGCTGACCTTAAGGTAAGGTGGTTTGGCAATGTCTTCGGGCTTATAGAGACGATTTCAGCCAGCGAGCCCAAGAAATCACCTGCTGATGAAGGGGAACGGCAGGTATATCGTCAGCATGATTCAGACGTATAGGTATATGCATGTGTTCGCTCTAACAAAAAGCCGTATTAGTAGATAGGTCTTGCATTCTTGATTTCTTTTGGGGCCAATTCCTTAAAGACTGGGGAGTTTGACGATATATGTGACCAATCAGATGAGCTCATTTTGAAATGCTGTCATTGTACTGTAAAAGATTCCTGAAGATCGCATTTCAGTCAGTGATTTGATGAATTTGAGACTTTACTATCTAAAGGTAGATACTTATGTGATTAAACATAAGAAATTATTTCTACA